GAGTGACCACCTCCTGTTGATTCTGCCTTGGCTCTAGATGCGTCTCTTATCTGCCCTCTGGATCCTGCCTCGGCAGACTGTCTCCTAACTGCTCTCTGCACTATCAGCTCTACATGCACCCGGCATCTGTCTCCAGCCTCCAGGGACTTTTACATCCTGGCTGGGCTCTCAATGCAGCTGCCCTGGTATTTGGAGATGAACTGTTCTTTGAGGGGCAAGGAGTGTTGTCTGTGCACCAAAGATGTTTAGCAGCACCCTGGCCTCTACCCAGAAGACACCAGTAGCATCCCCAGTTGTGACAACCCGAAATGTAACCAGAGTTAGTCAAATGTCCCCAGGGGTTTTCATTCGGGCTGCACATTCAAATACTTGGGGAAAAAAAGAAAGAAAGAAAAAGACAGAAAGACAGAAAGAGAAAGACAGAAAGAAAGAAAGAAAGAAAGAAAGAAAGAAAGAAAGAAAGAAAGAAAGAAAGAAAGAAAGAAAGAAAGGAAGGAAGGAAGAAAGAAAAAGAAAGAAAGAAAGAAAGAAAGAAAGAAAGAAAGAAAGAAAGAAAGAAAGAAAGAAAGAAAGATTGATTCATGTTGGGGCCAGATCATGATGCAGTGGTAATACAACTGGGCCCACACAGGAAGGTCCTCGGTTCGTGTCCAGGCCCTCCCTGAACAGGCTAAGTGTGAATGCACGTGCCCATGATCTGGGCTGGCTGAGGCTAGGGTGGATCATAGCATGAAGACTTTGTTGGGGGGATCTCTCTCATTCTTTTTTGGAAGAGATAAATAAACTTAAAGGGTAGGGGGAACAAAACATTAGTGCTTGGGCCCCAGTCAGGGGTAATTAAATCAGAAACTTGAAGGATAGTGGTTTCATATCAGTATTTTCAGTAATGCGGCCAGGGTAGAAAAGCATGTATACCTTTTCATCGGAATCATTGTTCTAGCATGGAGAGCAATTCATCTTACTCATCCCCGATGTCAAGCCATCGCATAGCTTCTCACTAAACACAGAGAGCGTCAAACGCCCTCGCATAAGACATGAAGCCCTCCAGTTCTGGACCCTTTTTACCTATTAGCTGTCCTGTTCAACTCCAGACCCAGTGCCTTGCCCACACTGGGCCAGCTAGCCCAAGCCCTGAAGAGTTTCCCCAACCACTATGCTCTTTCACCCTTCAGGTTTTACGTGCACCTTGAATACACTTATTTTCATGGTTAAATAAATAAACAACCCTACTGATCTTTCGTAAATCGGCTCAGTTGTAAGCCCCTCTTGAAACCTGTCCTGACCGCCCCCCAACCCTCGGGGAGAACTGACCAGTCCCCCTTGGTGTTACCCGCATTCTCCAAAATGCCCGTCATGACCTATGAGCACTTGCTCCTCGTTATACATTTGTCTAGCCCCCGAGCTCCCAGGTATCCCCAGCACCTGGCACAGCACCCAGCACATGAATGCTCGATTTTATCTGTATATTGAATGACAGAATAGTACAGCAAGAGACACCATACTCCCCCTGGGTCTCCTCAGTGTTTCTGCTTCTGTACTCCATCCCAAGGAAAAGGAGATGCCCGGAGCCGTACAGGAAAGCAAAGTCATTGAACAGGCCTCTCCACGTGGCACCCACAAGGTCAATCCCATGGGGAAGCCCAAGGGCAGCAGTCACTGATACTGGCACAGATGTGATGGGGGTGTGCCAGACTAGAACAAGAGCCCATGGGAGCTGGAGCTACAGACAGCCACCCACCTGTGCCCATCGGTCCACTGCGTGCAATCAGTTAACCCTCAAGCAAAGCTATGGAGAGGCGGGCCCTCCACCTCTCCCTGCTGCATCTTTTTTTTTTTTTTTTTTTTTTTTTGCTATAGAGCGCATGCACTCACCAGACAGACAGAAAGAGACAGAGAGATAGAAAGCAAGAAATCCCCCCCCAGGGGGATGGCCACGCCACAATCCCTTCTCCTCCATTCTCCTTTCGGGATCTTGGGCACACATGCACACGGGCCCGGCATGAGTTTAAGCCACCGGGTCCGGGACTCGAACTGCGATTGACTATGTGGGAGTCCAGCGACACAGCCATTACACTAACTGCTGGTCCCTTCCTGCTGCATCTTAAACAAGCAGGGCATCAGAAGTGGACAGCAGCTTAGCTGGTGTGCATGTCTACTCGGGCTGATCCATGCTGCAATGGCGGCAGTGTAGGAGGAGCCTTAGGAACCAGTGGGAACTGCAGTTTACGAAGAGTTGGAGTTGGAGGGGACACAGAAGGATCTTGAGTGAATAGTCTTATATCAGGAGAAAGAAGATATCCCACCCATTCTTCTTACTCGCACCGGAGGTCTTCCTAATTTGCAAATCTGCCTTGTCACTTGCCTATTCTGAATTCTACAACATCTACCTGTTGGATAAAATCAAAACACTTTCAAGAGGTCCCAAAGACCATTAGGCTTCCCTCTCTGCCTACCTGTTCAGCCTCCCACTCCCTGTTCTTCACGCTCCAACCATGACAGAACACATCCTCAGACCCACCCACTGAACTTCCCATGCCTCTGCACCTCCGCACATGTTACGCCCTCTGCCTGGAACATCTTCCTCCTTTTCTCTGCCTGACACCCCCCCCATTTATCCTTTGTCTCTCAGCTCTGTGTCCCCCACCACAGGCACACTGAGCCAGGTCTCCCACATCCACAGGAAACTTCACAGCATCGAATCGTGTTCAGCAGAAGACAATGGCCACACCTGAACTTTGCCCTGGTTCCACCACTTAGTGGCTCTGTGACCAGCAAATCACTAATTTCTCTGATCCTCCGTTTCTTCCTCTGTAACATGGTCATCATAACTGCTGTCTTATTAAGTAGATGTGATCATGCATGTAGGCCCCCACCAGGGACACAGCGTACCCCATCACATGCGCTGGACAAGGGCTGAAGGACAGCTTGCACCCACGTGCCCACGTGCACATCCCTGTGGTCCTGGCCCTCCTCCAGAAGTCTGGACATCTCGTCCATCATGAGGGGTTCCTAGCACCAGCTCTGAGACCTGCTTTGCAGATCTTTGTCCTGCCTGCTACTCCAAGGAGCTCTGCATGTGACCGAAGACTTCAAAATACACAGACGGGATCCTCATGGGCCAAAGGAAAAGGGGAAGCGCAATACTCAAGGTGGAACAGTCTGCAGGGCACAGAAGACTGGCCTTCACGAAGCGTGACCACTGAGCTGAAGATGGGAAGAGGCGGTGGAGATGGGCAGGAGAGAAGGGGAGCAAGGACATTCCCAGCAGAGGGAACCTGAGGCCCCGAAGGGCATGGGTCCCCCAATGTTGTAAAATAAGAACTCTGAGTGCTTGTGAACTGTTAGTTTCCTGGACAGTAGGTGTGGAAGTAAAGCGAGGGAGAAGAGTTGGAGAAAGATCCCGAGGGGCCAGGCTGAGGGGGCTGGATTTATCCTGTGAAAGGGGGGAGCCAGTGGCGGGTCACATGTCGAGGAGATCAGTACTGGATAGGGGGAAGAAAACCAGTGGGTGCATGAGGATGCTGTGGAGAGGGAGAGGATAGAGTGAGGAGGGAAGTCTGGGGGTGGAGGAGGAGCTGAAGGGAGAAGGAGGAGGCAGGGTTGGAGGAGGGGAAGGTTGAGCAGAGGGGAGGTTGGGGGAGAGGAAGAGAGGCTGAAGTGGAGGAGGAGGCTGAGGTGGGAGGCTAGGCGGAAGACCAAGACACCAGTCAGAAGGCCAAGAGGAGGAGAATGTGCTGTTGTAGATAACCGTCATGGGGGGAGGAGAGGCTGAGATCCCGTGAGCAAGCCCAGTCCATCCAGTCCATCACTCTCCAGCCAGCACTGCTCTGCCTGGGAGGAGGCAGTCCTGGGATGCACCTGGAGGATGATTTATGGCTTTCAGATACCAGACTTGGGTGGTTTCTAGGCTTTCAAGAATGGATGTCTGCAGTGTTGCCCTTAGTCTACAGAGGGAGACATCCGGCCTCTCTGTTCTTCGGATGACCCTCCCACCTCTGCCACCTGGAACATGAGCACACGCTTCTTGAAGCAGGTGGACAGAGTGACCAACTGTCCAGTGTGTCAGGACGGCCCGGGTTTTAGCATTGAACGTCCTGGGCAAATCAGACGGTCCACCACTAACCCCATCAGTGTGCTGAGCTCCAGGGGCTCAGAGAAGGACCCAGCTTGTCACAAAGCGTTCAGCTAATTCTACTCAATAGGATAAGCCTAAGAAGATGGACACTGTGCTCAGCAAAGTGGCTGTGGGTGGGAGGAAGGGCAGACAGGTGCCCTGGGACATAATCCTCTGGAGGTCTCTCCGACACTGGTTCTCTCAAAAGCCCAGAACAAAACAAACCACTTCATCCCTAAGGCATCACCCCACAGCCCTCCTCACGCATGTCCAGCCAGCATGGACACTCTGTGCCATGGACACACTCGGTCTCAGAAAGCACTTGCAGTGAGAGGGAAAAGGTTCTGAGGCCTGCTGCCAGCACAGGGGGGGACTCAGAGATGCCCGTACTCCAGTGAGGGGTCCTGGGGCATCGTACACCTGGTGGCTCTTCATCCTGCAAGTCACAACATGCTCGTGATCGGTGAGTTCTCTTTCCATTTCTCCCTCTTTCACACACACACACACTTCAAAATACTGCAGTTCTGGGTCACGAAAATGTTCGTTCAACATCTGGGTGTCTCATAACAGTTATCAGCAGGCTATCTCAAATCTGCCACGGGCTCGGCTGAACGGCCTGAGCGTGATCCTCTCCCGAGTAACAGGTAGTTTCCACCATGCAGCGCCCATCACTGCTGGCTTCGGCGCCTCCGCTACAAACAGGTTACATGAAAACCCAATCGTTTACACTCTTTAAAAGCGACACACACCAAATAAGTCATACTAAACCGAGCAGCACTAACGGACCAGAGGGAAGCCCTCCGCTCCTGCCCACCGTTTCCTCGGACCCTTCCCAGAGTCGGTTCCCGCCCACTTCCCGGGGCCCAGGTGAGGGGACCAGGATTACCTTTGGGAGAAATGCCATCCTCGGCCTGTACTGCTGGCCTTGGTGTCGGATTGTCATCCTGGACCCCGGACGAATGCACCACCAGAACACAGACCGGAGAGAAAAGAAAGAATCCCCCCAAGTTCGGAACCCAGCCGGGCTCGCCCAAGCCCCGGGCGTCGACAGGGGAGCAGCGGGCTGGGAGAGCGCGGGGCGGATGCTGCGGCCCCTGGACTCTCACTCGACACCGGGCGACTTGGAGAGCAGCTGGAATCCGCGCCAGCCAATCAGCGAGCGGCGCCGCGGGCTCATTAGCATACATTGTGCGTGCGCCCACCTGCCAGCAGGGGGCGGCGTTCGGCCCCTCTGGAACCTCGCGGAGCCTCAGGTGAGACCCGCAGGTCAAGGACCCAGGAGCAGTCTGTATGGAGGGGTGAACCTTTTAAACTGGGGTGCGGTTATGCACAGAAGAGTCTTCACTAATAAAGCACGGTGGAAAGCATGGATTTCCCATCCCAGCTCTGCCACTAATCAGCTAGGCAGCTTTGAGCAAGATCCTCAAAATCTCGAAGAATCGATTTCTTAGCTGGAAAGAAAAAAATGTAAATGAGATCATAATATCCAAGAGAAGTGTTGCGCTATTACGCAATGGGGAAATGCGTAACCCGGGCTTGGCCTTCAGTAAATGTTTAGAAAAAAAAAAAATAGGTTAAGTCACAAGCGGTGTGACTTATTGACTAGTGGTGTGACTTACTGACTTATTGACTAGATGTTGATTTTAAAAGCAAGTGAAGAAGGGAAAGTCAGATAGTCCCTACTGAGCCAGTTGTCTGGCCTTGGGCAAATTATATTTTACTTCGCTGGTTCTTAGTATTTTCGGTTGTTTGTTTTTAAGACTCTATTTGTTAAAGCAGTTTTAGGTTTGCAGCAAGTTGAGTGAAAAGTACAGAGATTTCATGTCTCCAGACACCTGGCCTCCTCCATTATCAATGTCCCCCATCAAGTCCGACATTTGTTACAACGGATGAACCAACATTGACACATCATTCTCCTAGTGCTTTTGTCTCTAGAAATATGAAAGGATGAAGCTTCTAAATATCACCAAGAACTATTTTGCTTTGTCTTATAAAGCACTTCTCTTATTTATATAAATTGGGTGGTTATAGATTGTAGCAGATAAAATGTTTACATTGGAAGAAAAGAGAGGTTTGCCTTAGGAAGGCACAGTCAACAAATGTCCTTTTAGAGCAGCAGTGTTTTGTTTTGTTTTGTTTTGTTTTGTTTTGCCAGAGGGCATGTTCGCTCACCAGAAAGACAGAGAGAAAAGGAGAGAGTGATAAAGCAACCCACCGTGGGGGGATAGTCACACCATAATTCCTTTTCCTTCATGTCTGCCTTCAGGATTTGGGGCACACACACACACTTGCCCACTGTGTTTTGTAAACCATCAAATCTGACACTTGAACTGCGGCTATGTGGGATCCAGCCACCTTAACCACCACACCATCAACTGGCCCTGAACCAGGAGTTGTTATTCATATTACTAGGTCATATTTACCTGTAAGAATCCAATGAAAGCTATGGACACTCAAGAAAAAACTTGTGTGTGTTTGCCTGTACATACACACACACACACACACACACATTCACAAACATTGACTTAAATATGCAAAAAATGTCAAGAGGTTCATGGTTGGTCCTCTCTGGAGCCTTTTTAAGAACCCGTGATTCAGATCCTCCTATTTAGAAGATGCTGGATCCTTCAGGGATCTGTCCATACAGAAGGTCAGAGATCTTACCAAGTGAACTCGACCACTGAGAACTATGCTCCTGGTGTGAGCCAAGATTCAAAGAAAGTCCTGAAATATCCTCTTTTTACTTTTTTTTTTCCATAAAGTACCTTTTGGGGCTAGTGTTATACAGAACACAGGCTGGGGTATGCCCAAGCAGATTAACTGTAAGGTCCCTTCCAGCTTCAACGTTCCTTAATTCTATAAACCCTAAATGGAAAGATGATAAGTGGCTTTCCTAAAGTAAAGGATGAGGAAAAATTGACCAGGAACAAAGAGGGGCCAATGTCTAAAGGAGTTTGTTCAGTAATGGCACAGGAGAGGTCTCAGTGGGCCTCCCATTTTCCTCCCTATCCTCTTTCAGATCTGCTTTCCAAGCAACCACGTTTTGTGGGACCCACCCTTAGCTCATTGGACCAGGAATGCTGGTTGTGCGATCCAGAAGCCAGTCCCTGACCTATGATGTGGTCATTATGTCAATATGAAAGCTCAGATGTCCTTGCTAGATTATTACCTCCACAAATGTCAATTTAAGCCAGATAGTGGCTAAAATTAGGTCCAAAAGAAACTGAGGCCAAATGCAAGTTGAAGTTATGAGGAAGCAGAAATGAAAAGTGAGCAGAGGAACTTATCATAAAATGGAAGCAAGTAAGTCAAGCAGGCAGAGCAGCTGAGGGACCCAAAACAGACAGAAGTCCCTAGGGCTGAACTGGGTCAGTGCCTTTCCAAGGGCATAGGTATATTTACAAACCCTCTTACATATCTGAGCCTTTGTTTCTTGAAGCCAAAAGGGCCTAATATGGAGTGTGGTGTTAAAAGTTTAATGACGAAAGACCCAAGAACAAAAAGAAAAAAGCTAGAGGCATTACACTACCTGATTTCAAGATACACTATAAACCAATAGTAATCAAAAAGCATGGTTCTGGCATTTAAAAAAAGAAAAGCTATACAGACCAATGGAACAAAATAGAGAGCTCAGAAATAAACTCATGCATTTACGGCCAATTGATTTTTTTATAAAGGAGAAAAAAAACACCATATATTGGAGAAAAAACAGTTTCTTCAATAAATGGTGCTGGGAAAACTGCAAACCCACATGCAGAAGAATGAAACTAGGCCTCTACTTCTCACCAGTTGCAACTATTCAAAATTGACTAAAGATTTAAATGTAAGACCACTTAAATGTAAGACCTGCAACTATGAAAATACTAGAAGAAAATAAAGGAAACAATTCATGTCATTAGTCCATACAAAAATTTTTTGGCTAAGACCTCAAAAGCACAAACAAAAAAATTTAAAAATAGAGAAATAATCTTATATCAAAGTTAAAAGCTCCTGCATAGCAAAGGAAACATAGTAAAGAAACAACCTATGGAATGGGAAAACTATTTTCAAACTAAGGTCTTGACAAAGTGTTAATATCCAGAATATACAAAGAACTCAACTCAACAGCAAACACAAAAAGATAATAATGCTATTATAAGTGGAAAAAGATTTGAACAGACATTTATCAAAAGAAGACATACAGGGAACCAGCAGTTAGCGTAATGGCTATGTCGCTGGACTCCCATGTAGTCGACCATGGTTCGCGTCCTGGACCCGGTGGCTTAAAACTCACGCTGGGCACGTGTGCGTGCGTGCCCAAGATCCCGAGAGAAGAATGGAGGAGAAGGGATTGCGGCATGACCATTCCCCTGGGGACTGATTTCTCGCTTTCTGTTTCTCTGTCTCTGTCTGGTGAGCGCATGCACCCTATAGCAAAAATCTCTCCAAAAAAAAAAAAGAAAAAAAAAAAAAGACATATAAATGGCTAACAGGTATATAAAAAAATGCTCAACATCACTAATCATGAGTGAAATGCAAATCAAAACCGCAGTGAGGTATCACCTCACTCTGGTCAAAATGGCTATTATCAAAAAGACAAGAAATAAGTGCTGGTAAGACTGGGGAGAAAGGGGAACTTTTGTACCAGTTAGTGAAAATGTAAATTAGTATAATCATATGGCAAATAATATGGAAGTTCCTTTCAAAAAAACTGAAACTAGAATTATCATGTGATACCACAATCTGATTACTAGGTATATAACCAAGGAAGAGGAAATCAGTATGTTGAAGAGATATCTGCACTCCCATATTTCACACAGTTGGTGCCTCTCTCTGTCTCTTTCTATCTCTCTCCAGTGAGCACATCTATGGTCAAAAAATAAAATGAAATAAAATTAAAAAATAAGAATGAATGAAAGAGT